GCTCCCTGTGCACCGGAAGCCCTCCTTCCAGGAAACCACAAGGCCGGGAGTGAGTCGCCGGTCCAAAGACCCAAAAAACCGGTATCATTTTTAACATAGACATTAAATCTCACCCTTGCCAAGCCTCCGTGCCCTTCTAATATATATTACTTAGTGATCATATTTACTTCCTGTCTCCCTTTACCTGAAAAAGCCCACAAAGGCCAGGTTTTTCTTGGTTTCGTTCCTCGGTGTCTTGAAAATCTTGAACAGTGCCTGGCACGTAGTAAGTTCTGAATGCACGTTGGCTGCTTGGATAGACAGGGCATCTAAGAACCATTACCTACATGCTTGAAGAGGTAGCATCAGCGCCATGGCACATAGTGAAACTGGGGTGCAAAGTGATAGTTCTAGAGGTGGTAGAGGCACGATTTGACCCCAGGTAAGCTGACTTGATGCTCTCAGTATTCATCACCATCTCATGGGGTCAAAAGGGAGAAGCGAAAGGATGTTCGGGCTGAGATGCCCAGAGTGGTAATTGAGGTGCTGAAAGTAGATGTTCGTAAGACAGAAAACCAATGGTAGGTGCTTATCTTTCCCATGCTTGCCCCATTCATGTTCATGAGGGCTGTTGAGGGCTCTAGTGGATTTTTTTGTAACGTCTCGGGAGAGCTGTAGTACTGTGAAGAACAGGTTAAAGTCACTCATTTTCCAAAAGTGTTACACTTGGGAAACCAGTTACAGTAAAAAGTAGCCTCCCTCTTTTATGAAACTCAGTGTTGTGCCCATATATATCAAGTTAAGAGTATTTAACATGTTGAAAAAGAAAAGTGCCCCTCACAACCCTAAAAGGGAGCCTCAAGAAATTTTAACAAACGATGTCTGTCAGAATGGAGCAGAATAGTGAGGTGTCTTGTGGGTCACCAGTAGTTTAGTGGAAGTGCAGGCAAGTGAAAGCAGTCCCCATTATCACCTCTAACTACTGAGGCAATAAATCGCCAGGTGGACACTTAGTTACATCAAAAGCCTTTAAGTAGGTTGTTCTGATAATTACACTTGCAGAGGTAATGCTGGAAAACTCTTGGTGCCTGTTAAATGTTCGAGGCCCGTCTGCCTATTCCCCTACTAACAAATGGTCTTTTCATTGTACCAGGTAGGGCTTACATGTGGATTTGCTGACTGCTATACACTGGAATATCTAAATAAACTAAGGCAAGTTTTACGAGAACAAATTACATCTGATTCCGTCTAAATAGCCCGTTCGTCAGACTGGTCAAAGCTCACCTTCAGTGTGTCGCCATTTAGCTAGAGGAAAATGAACTATGACTGCTCTGGGAAGAAACAGATTTTCTAATTTTAATTAATATTTGTTAGTCATGAAATATATGGTGAACCTCCAGGAAAAACAAAAGCAGTGGTGGAAATTGACTTGCTTATGAGGAGACATAGTATGTTTTGATTTTTGTGTTGTGTTTTGAGACAGGGTCTCACTGTATAATTCGGGCTGGCCTTGAACTAGTGGCAGTCCTCCTGCCTCAGCCTTCCTAGTGTTGGGATTACTGGCATGATCCATCACCCCGGGCTGTTCTGAAAATTAAATGATTATGTACAGGCAACTTGTGTGCAGGCGTTTAAAGTACATTTCTCTCAACCCCATTTTTTCTGTTGTATCACGAGAGTTTTCACCTAGAATCTCTGCATCAACATTTCCTGGAACATCATTACCTTGGATTTTTAACCCACCTTTATATATAACTGAATTATTATTTTTAAACATTTTTCTTTAAAAATCTAGGGGACTAGAAGTATAGCTCAGCGGGGAGTGTTTGTTTAGTATACATGAGACCCCAGGTTTCATCCTCAGCATTGCCAAAATATAAAAATTTTAAAATCTAAAAACATTTATTTTGAAAACTAAGATTTAAATGACTACTTCATTTGCTATAACCATGAAATATTTACAAGGAACATTAAATATTGAATGATATCTTTGCTAGGTATTGTCCTTAAAAATAGCTTCTGAGATATGCTTTTTCTTTAGCAAAAAAGCAGGTGAGTAAGTGTTACTCTGAGACATAATACAGGACCAAGTTTTCTTTTGATGATATAAGAAGAGTTAGAACAATATTAAAAAGAATTTCATGATAGCATTTATTGTTTTTTATGTACAGCGTCCCATGTGTCACCTTTTTTAGTTCCCATCCTACATTATGGGAAACCATTTAGTCTCCAAGATTTCTTTTGGCCTGGTATTTCATAGATAGCTCTGGTTTTGGGGTCACACAGGCTGGGATTCTGGATGCTGTCATCAAGTCTGTTCATAGGTAGGATAAGGACAACATATGCTCAGCGTGAAGATTAAATGGAGCTGACGGGTGCAGTCCATAGCATACCATGGGGCGTACAGCAGAAACTAAACAAATGCAAAGCTCTGTTTGCTTTTGAATTAGACTTACCCAGCAACTTAATTTCAGGAGTGGCTGAATGATTTTGAGTGATATATATTCAAAGTGCACTTCTTTTTTCGTCAGTGAAAGCTCTATTT